TCCAGGCCCCTTCACTCTGTCCAGTGTCTGAGGGGCTGACAGTGCACTGGGCTCCATCTTCCGGCCAGTCTGGACCTCCAGGCCCCTTCACTCTGCTCAGTGTCTGAATTCACCTTCACATTGTGCCCTGTCCACTGAGAGGGCCTCCAGACCGTGTCAAGAGACTCACTGCTCGGCGGTCAGGTGGGTCCAGCTGGGTTCAGCTGTGCCTGAAGTCAATTTCCACTCCATCCACTCCCGGAAGACTTCATCTCTAAGCAGCTCAGAAGGCTGTGGTGCTCTCTCCTCAGCCTCCACTCCCTGCACCCCCAGCCTCACTTCAGTTTGTACATCCATCTCCCATGTAGCAGCGAGACACAACCCCATCATCAGGTGGAGGCAAAACCACCTCCCTGGTTCTGGCCGATGCACACCTCTTAAACCGACGCACGTTCCCCCTCCATGCTATTCTCTGCAGCGGCTCATACCCCGAGACCTCTGTCTTGTGTTATTTGCAGGCTCTCTGTCTTGACCTGGTGCAGCCATGGGACTATCAAATTGAGTCTGAGATGCTGCCAGTGCTACCAGCATGTAGAAGCCACCACTGCAGCCTGCCAGGAGGCTCTGGGCTCCAGCTTCTTGCTGCTGGCTTACTGGGTGGCCCGAAACTATAGGTTCAGGATGCTAGTGTCAGGGCCACCTCTTACGGCTTCAGGGAGGAGTGCAGATCAGAGAAGGAACCCGCTGTCCCTCCCAGACCCTTCCTGATCCCTGGTGTCTCCAGCTTAGACCCTGTCTGTCCACCAGTGTAGAACCTGTCCCGCTGGCTGTGTGCCCCAGTTCCGTGTGTCTCCTCATCATCGGATGTCGAGCACAGAGGGTGGGATCCTAACAAGGTGGGGCTGGTGACAGAACCTGGAAGGATCCTATCTGGGCTCCCAGCAAGTCTCCAAGGCCAGCCCAGTGGCCGAGCACAGGACTGGGGCTGAAGACCCTGGGGTCATGCTGTGTTTACAGAAAGGTGTGCCTATGAGGGGCTTTGGGAGAGCAGGGGCTGCTCTGCTCCCTCCACCAAGATCCCAGCCCTGCTCTTCCCAGGTCAGATGCTCCAAGGCCTCCAGCGAATGTGGCCGGGCAGGGGAACGCATGTTTGGCAGAAGGTCAGCTTGAGTAGTGACGAGCGAAGGCCATTGTCCCTCTCCCCTTCTGCTAGAACCCAACATCTGGGCAGGAGCAGACCGCTGGGATAGAGCTATGGACCTGGATACAGAAGGCGAAAGAGGCGGGTGAGAATGCCACGCCATCACACTGGCCCTGGTGCAGGGGGGGCCTTCTGGAGGCCAAGCAAGAAGGGCACGAGGAGGGGAGAGGTTCCCCTTCTTCTTGTCCCACATGTATCTCGCTGTGCAGCCAAGGGTAGCCCGCTTGCCTTCTCTGGTGCCTGTGCTCTTCCTCTTCAACGTATGTTTGCTGTCAGCCTCCCAAGGCTGCTAGGCAACTCCCATCAGCTGTGGCGAGAGCTATGGCGGGGAGCGCCTCTCTCCTCTGCCCTCCCTTCCCCACCAGGTTTGGTTTCCATAACAACCCCAGAAGGTGGGAGGCTGTGCTAACTAGCAGGTGCCCAGCTGGGAGGGGGGGGGCATGGGAGAAGCTGTGGCTGCAGAGTCAAAAGCTGAGCCTGGGGCTTCCCAGGACTGTCTTTAACCCCCAGTGCCACCTTTTAATGGGGCAGGATGGGGGGCTGGTCAGGCTGAAACCTGGTCAGATTTGCGGGTGTCTCTCTTGTCCATCCTAAGGTTAGGCTTCAGTCCCAGCTTTGCCGTGGACTCATTCTGTAATGTTGAGTAGGTGCTAGGGTCTCCCCAAGCCTCAGTTTCTCCATCTGAAAAATGGGGAGCTGTAGGGAAGTATGAGCAAGTGGAAGCTTCTTATCACTAAAGACTTCTCTTATCTCAAGAACATCTATGCTGTTGTTACGTCCCATGGAGTCGAACCCAGCCATAGCTGGCCCTCCGGCAGTAAATCGTGTAGGAAGATTGCCCGTCTTTCTCCCATGGAGCAGAGGGTGAGTTTGAGCTGCATGTCTTTGGGTTAGCAGCGCACGTCCTTACCACTAAGCTATCAGAGCTCCCTGTAAAACGTCTACAGGCAACTGCATTTCCAAGGCAGGAATAAGTTGGTTTTCATAATCAAAAGCAGAGACCACTATCAATCAAAGCCACCACGAGCAGAAGGCCCAGTGCTCTAAGGGGTCTATGCGGCCTGACAGGGAGTGTGAGTGCCATTTGTGGGGAGTACACGTCCTGCTCTGTCCCTTCCGGTTCAAAGGTTAAGCACGCTGGAAGAAGTCATAGATCCTTTGTGATATTGTGAGGGGGAAAGGCTTCCCGTGGGATGTCAGGATTTCACAGAGAGTGGAAATGAGACTGGGGTTCTCCCACAGGACTGGACAAGAGGACCTGCACAGGGTCAGAGTCAAACAGAACACACTCTGGAGACACAGCCTGGCTCCATGTCGACCAGGGCCAGGCGATGCCTTGGAGCCTGGCTGAGGCCCTGGGACCCCGGAGCATCTTCACGGTGACACAAGTTCCCCTCAGGTCCCAGGATGGGAGGGTGGAATGTCACAGGCCATACAACTGTCCACTCTTTTGTCCAAAGCCCCCTGTCAATGACACTGGTCCTCGAGTCTCAGGAAGCATGGGCCTTCCACAACAAGGAGCACCCCCCAGAGCCTCCACCCACCAACCCGGCAACTGGACTCCATTTCCAAACTGCCACAACCTCTTGGCTCTGACAAGAACGCCTTCTCTCTCCCCAACCTCAGAGAGGTCTTCCCACTCCATGTTCTCAGCTGATGATCTGGTTGCTCCTTTCACGGAGAAAATAGAAGCAATCAGAAGAGAGCTTCCTTCTCTCATCACCCGCTCTCAATCTCCCTTCATCTTCATGAGAAAGTCAGCCCGCCTTCCCTGTGCCTCGGGCCCACCCTCCTCGGCCCGCTCAAGGACTCTGCTCCCGCAACTCCTGCTCCTCTCTGCACCATCAAGCTTTCCTTGATACCGTATCATCTCATCCTTCAGCAAAGACACCTTCCTTCTTCCAAAGTGTTCCCGTGGCCTCATAGTCCCCTCTGGCCACAGCCTTATCTTCTGTCTGGTTTTACAGCCTACTGTATCTCTGCTTCTCCCATACTCTCTTCTCGCTGTTAGGTGTTGTGTAATTGACTACCGATTTATAGCGACCCTAGGAATAACAGCTCTGAAGCTGCCCTATCCCGAGCCAACTCACCATTTCTGACACACCTGACCCCATTGCCGCATCACTGTGTCAATCCATCTCATCCGGGGGCTTCCTCTCTTGCGCTGTCCCTCCATTCTTCCAAGCATGATGTCCTTCTCTAAGGACCAGGTCTCTCCTGGCCACATGCCCAAAGTATATGAGATGGAGCTTCAAAATCTTTGCCTCCAAGGAGCAGCCTGATTTCACCCTCTCCAGGACAGATCTGTTTGTTCTCTTGGCAGTCCATGGTATATTTAATACTCTTCTCTAGCACCACAGCTCAAGATATCAGTTACTCTTTTTATCATCCTTAATCACTGTCCAACTTTCAGATGAGACCATGGCCCAGATCAAGAGCACCTTGGTTCCTCTTTAATTAGGTATATGCCCCACTGTTCACCTGGAACCACTATTGTTGAAGTTACACGTGACCATGATGTTGTCAGTTCAAATGGTCCATTCCCAGTCTTCACTTTACTCCACTTCTTTGGGGTAATCTTAGAGTTGGACCATATTCCCCAGTCAGCTTTGGAACACCACTCTCTCCTGGTCTTCCTCTAGCCTTGCTGGCAAGTTCTTTTCAGTCTTCTCCACTTGTCCTTCTTCGCCTTCCTGACCTTGAGATGGTACAGGCTCCCCCAGTGAATTCTCCACATTACTTCTTTATCCAGCTTCATTCACTAGGAGGAAATGCACCCAGACTCCTCGCTTTAAATACCATCTGCATCCTGATGGCTTCTACCTTCCTATCTCTGGCTTCGACCTCTGTTCTAAACGCCAGACTGTAAAATCCAGTTGTCTTAGTCAATATTGATCCCTCCTTTCAATGATGTGAAGGGACTGATCCCATGCATTAAAACAGAACATATCCCAGATCAAACGCTGGATTCTCCTCCTTCCTCAGCCAAGCTCCTGCCTCTGTTCTTGTCCATTTCAGAAAATGTTGGGGAACGCCTGCCACCCACCTGCTCAAGTCAAACACTGCCACGGGATCGCTGTCAGACCTTCAGTGTGCAATCCAGAATCTGGGCCTCCACCTGGACCCTCCTCTCAGCCAGCATCTCCATCCTTCAGTGTGCAATCCAGAGTCTAGGCCTCACCTCCTCCACCTGGACCCTCCTCTCGGCCCAGCATCCCCATCTTCTAGCTACTAAAACAGCTTCACCCCAGCCTGTGAGCATCAACTCTTCCCCCCGCAGTCTAGGCTCTTTAAGAACGCATGTCAGAGCGTGGCTCTTGTCACACTTAGATCTAGGATCCGATCCCCAGCCCCCCACTGCTCCACCTTCACCTTCCACACCCTTCCTCCTGCTCAGTCAGCTGTGGCCAGGCCTCTCTCTATTCTGGATGCGGACAGTGGGCACTTCTCCCTAAGCTTCGGTCTCCCATCTGTAAACGGAGGCCTGGGATCCGCTCACACACAGCCTGTCTGGACACTGAGGTTCTGGGGCATCTTTTAACCACCTGGTCTTCCACTTGGGAAGTTCTCTATCACACAGTTTGGCTTCCCCCTTCCTCCTCGCTCCCTTACAGCACGGCTGAGCTCAGGCCTACTCACGGAGGCGACAGTTAAGCAAACCCCTGGTCGTGAAGAGGTGGATTCAGTGAATCCGAGGACCCTAGGAGTAGGAGCTGAAAGCAGCAAGCTGAGTGCAGCCTTTCACAGAGGAGACTTGGGGGGCCGTGAACCCTCACCCGGTCCTGCTCCCTACACAGGTTCAGCATTCAGTCCTGCACCATTCAACTCTCAGAAAGGTCTTTACGGCAGGACCCCAAATGTCATCCCCCCGGAGCCCTCAGCTCCAGCCTCTCAGCCGGGTCTCTTCAGGGGCAAGGAAGGGGACCTCAGCCAGCCTGGGACCTCAGTGACTTTCTGGTGGGCTCACAATTTTCTCATCTGTGAAATGGGAATGAGTGACTGGCGTCCAGCCGATCTCTCTGGGAGGATGAGGTGGAAATGATAAGGTGCTTTCGGATGTGACACTCCGAGTGGAGACTGTGGACGGGCTGATGGCACGAGTCTTTGGGACTGCCTGCTTCCTGCTCCAGGCTCCTTCTCGTCACTGAGATTTCAGCCTCAGCCTTCTGGAATCAGGTCACCGTTGACAGTGATCCAGGGATTTCAGGTTGTAATATTGGCTTCTCTTGGTGGAAAGGGCAGAGGATGCTAAACTAGAATCTTAATGATGGCCCTCGAGCACAGGGCGGCCGTGCTGCCCCAGATGCGCCAGTGGCCCTGACCACCGTGGCCCGCCTGAGCTATTTTGGACTCCTCTCTGCCCTCCAGATGCGCCAAGGGCCTCCACCCTCTGTCTCCGGCCACAGCGGTGAGAGGGGCTGCGGAGAGCAGAGCTGCACATGGCCACGGAGTGGGGAGGGCCCAGCAGCCCTGGACCAGGGATGGGTGGGGGCGTGTGAGTGAACACCCCACAGCATGAGAATCGCAGCACAAGGCAGGTACTTACGCCATGACAATCACACTGAAGTCCAGCCAGTTCCATGGGTCCCGAAGGAAGGTGAACGCATGCAGGCAGAAGCCTCGAGCCAGAATCTTGACCAGAGACTCAAAGGTGTAAATGGCGGTGAAGGTGTACCTGGGAGGGGGCGGGGAGAGGGAGATCAAGGGCCTCAGATCAGGAAACCCTGGGCAGGGACCCCCACTGGGCAGGACCCCCCCCACTGGTCAGGACTGGGGGTGACAAAGGAGCAGTGGGACTGGACCAAGGATCCCTTAGGTAAGGAGTCCTGGGCCTGGACACAGTCTTCTTCCAGGGTGACGTCTGGGACCTGGCATGGAAAGGAAGGGAGGGGCGAGCTGGAGGAGGGGCCGTAAGATACTCACTCGACGTATTTGGTCCAGGGCGGAGGGTCGTGCTGGGCCATGAACACACAGTTGGTCAGGATCGTGCACATGATGAGCATGCTGAAGAGCGTGGCGGGGTCAAGGAGCGTCCACGCTGCAGAGGCTGACCACCGCCCTCACCCCAGATCCGCCACTGACAGCCTCAAGGGCAACCCAAGAGTCCACGCTGCAGAGGCTGGTCACCGCCCTCACCCCAGATCAACCACTGACAGGCTCAAGGGCAACCCAAGAGTCCACGGTGCGGGGCTGGTCACCGCCCTCACCCCAGATCCACCACTGACAGCCTCAAGGGCAACCCAAGAGTCCATGGTGTGGGGCTGACCACCGCCCTCACCCCAGATCAACCACTAACAGACTCAAGGGCAACCCAAGAGTCCAT